AAAAACAATTAAACCAGTTTAAACAATTTGTTTGTTACCCTAAAGCAATGGCAGCATCAAAAATTTATAGTAAAAGGCCTGCTTTGGGTGAAAATTATCGATATTTTTTTTAGGTCATTTTCAGACAGGTCTGAAATTATCACATACTTCCAACCGTCCGATTTCATGAATTTAAGGCTCGATCCAATGATAAAATAGGCTTGTTTGTTTAGCAAAAGGAGCAAACAATTAGTAAATCAGGTTATATTTAGTTTTTTTTCCTTTCCGATCTATGTTAAGTGTCACCTATCACATTACATGTCAAGTGGCCTTTTACGTGTTATCGGGATTTATACAATTACAACTTAGTCTGCAACTCTAAAAGGAAATATATTCGTATAACAAATTATTGAACATTGTGGAGAACGACGATGTCTTATAGTACTTAGTCAGACAGTGCAAAATGTTCAGCCAAAAAATGCGAGGTTTATTTACCTCATAACTTAGAGCTAAACAGATCTATCTTTAGTTCCTGAGCGTGAATCATTTGCATTATTGGTAATACATGCATTTCATAATGCAGATCCTTTGTTAGCCTGCAACATTTTGCAATGAGTTCGCAGCATGGAGCATCATATTCCCGTGTATTCATACAATATAACTACATAAAACTGTACAAATGTGTAAGTAATGTTATTTGGAACGTTTAGTAAATTGATACGGTACACAGCTGTGCAGCGTAACCAAATTCACACTAAATATAACAGACTATAGGGTTATTTTAGTGTATACGCATCCGAAGCGCTCACTATTTTCAGATTTTTTATAACAAACGCAGCCCAACAGCGACTGTAGAGTGCCTTTAATCTAATTGTGACGTCACACGGTACACGGCTGTGTAGCGTAGAGTAAAGAATACATAGCTTAAATATTTTAATCACCACGCTACACAGCCGTGTACCGTGTGACGTCACTGTTAGATTAAAGGCGCTCTATAGTCGCCGTTGGGCCGCGTTTGTTATAAAAAATCTGAAAATAGTGAGCGCTTCGTATGCGTATACACTAAATTAGCTCTATAGTCTGTTATATTTAGTGAGAATTTGGTTCCGCACTTAAAGTACTTTTGTTGAAAACTCGTCTTACTGCGTCTGCATAATTAGTCCAGCAAAGCGTATATATCATGCCCAAAAGCCGCTCACCTACAAAATTATATATATGCTTTAAAAAAACAATTAAACCAGTTTAAACAATTTGTTTGTTACCCTAAAGCAATGGCAGCATCAAAAATTTATAGTAAAAGGCCTGCTTTGGGTGAAAATTATCGATATTTTTTTTTAGGTCATTTTCAGACAATCCTGGCAAAAATTATGTGGACACCTAACCTTTGTAAGGTTAATATTAACATTGAGACGTTCTTTCATGAAATTTGTCACCCCTTGCCCCCTATTCAATGTTGTTTCTCGCATTCAAATTTTAAAAGCTTCATTTACCAACATGGAATTGGGGGTAGGAGGGGGAGAAATTTTCTGGCGGATTAATTATGTAGAAATAGATCTATTTTTGTTTGACGCACTCGCTGTCCACGATAATTTTTGCCAGGATTGTAGCTACGATGGACAATCTACCCATCCAAAGGTGTTGCACTAGGTCTGCCCCCCCCCCCTCCCAAAAAAAAACATGTTTTCCTTGAAATAATTTTCAAATAAGATCTTCATTTTCTCAATACGTTGTTCTTAGCAGTCAAAAGAACAGATGTAAAACTGCACTCAAAATTGAAGAGCAAACAGAATGCTGAAATCAGCTTAAAATACTAAATATTTAATTTAATCTTGTACGGTTGTACTAACGACTAAAGACAAAATAGTGGAGGATTTTTTGTTTGAACATTTTTAACCTGTCCACATTCAAAAATACCCGTCCAAAAGGCGGGTGGACGGGCCTCTGGCTAAGCCCATAGCGGCCATATAATTAAAGATTGAACTAAGATTATTGATTGTGCGAGCGAATTCAAACAGTTTGGCAATTTCATACCATAAATTGAAATGGACTGAAAGGAAGCTTGATTGTGGCAGTGCGATTCTGATTTCTGATGTGCAGTGCAGCATAATGGGTTAACAAGACAACAGAATAATAGACCACGTGAAAAAACCCATCTTGCTTAGTTGCATTCCCCTCTCTTGCAAAATGTTGTGTACTAATTATATAAAATACCTCTAGGAACTTCATTCCTCCAGGGAAATCTGCTATTTCAGAATGAATCCCTTCATTGCGTTCCTCGGGAGTGAATCCATTCGAGACTTCCATTGAGCTATTCACACCACGTTCAACAGTAATTTGATCCCCGACCACTGCTTGTTCTCCACAGGTATCTTTCTTTCCATCAAAATATGATGGAACAAACTGTTGTAGGTGATTGAGAATTTTACGGAACCCATCAGCTACATTCTCATTTTCATACAGGATGCCCAGAAATGTCTTAAAAATATCAATGAAAGTAACTATGTTACTAAAAACAAACATACAGTATGTACACAGGAACATCCGAAATGTGTGATCTGATTTGATTTCACGATCGAAAATTATTTAAGTGCCAATGCGGTGCAGTGTATTGTCCAAAATTTCATTTGATTATTATTAGGTAATAAAGGTTCTCTTGGTCAAAAACATCCTTTGAAGATAAATTGCAACCATAGTATAATGAGATCCAGAGTAAGTCTCATTTTAAATTATCGTGATTGCACTCATTAGCTTCAGTCCACGATAAACAAACTACATGGTTTTGAAATCCTGCCAAATGACAGCACTCTCCCCTTGACGAGTAATATCATTTGGCAGTGGAGTAAAATAATACAACAGGGTGCATTGCCAAGTCCCTTTAAAGAATAACAATACAATTTGTTTAACCCTATCTACCACTTACTGTTTCTGTTTTTTGCTTCATGTTTATTGAATATTGATGTGGTATGTGGGAGAATACAACTTCTCTTAAGAAATGCAAGCAAGGCAATTCCTGGGTAAGGACTCTTGACACAAGTTGAATGTAGTTGTCATGTTGCAGTTTATATTCCCATTGACTTGGACAGCATTTTCCATTCTCCATATCCATCAAAGTACATATTGGTTCATCATCAGACAAATGATTGCCACTAACTCGATTCTCTGTTGCCATTAAGCTACAGAAGTGTGCATCTGGATTTTGATGTTGTTCGGTCATATCATGGGTGAGCTGGTGAAAATCAACATTATCCAAGACCAACTTTCTACCATTGTCAGGTGGTATAGTTTTATCTGATACTTCCTCAGCTGCATTGGCAACAGTTGTTAAAGTGCAGTCCATGGACTCAGTTGACTCTACATCATCCACAGAATCAACAATGTTTGCAGGTTTTCGATGTGGAAATACTAGAAGCTTTTTTTGCATGGATGAAGGTTCCGCATCTAGGTTATCATTGCTAAATATCTGTGCAAGTGAAGTAAGGATTTTCTTCCCCTCATTGGCAGGATCTTTATTCTCTTTACCAGTATCACTTGCACTTTTAAACACACCTTCCGGGATTGTAACCATGGTTATTTGTTGATTTTGTTTCCACATGCTTGGGTTTATTCTTTCGTTTCACTTCATCTGATCCTAAAATTTCTTTCCTAAAAAGATCTTTACCTAAAATTTCTTTGTCATAATCCAGGTCAAGTTCATCCATTCTCTTGTGGAAATACGTAATAGAAGGCATTAAACGAAGAACTTGCATTCTTTTCATTCCATTCTATAGGTGTAAAGCACATAACTACAATTACTATATATTATGCATTATCTGCAAATGAATTTTGAAGGGCTTTGATTGGTCAAATTGAGCAGTATAAACTAGAAAGTCCACTGCTAGTGTGAATCCCTTAGCAGGCATATTGTTCTTATATCTTCAACTTGTGCTCATATTGTACTAAATATAATCTGTACTAAATCTCAATTGACTATGTCCAGTATCAGGCTTTGTCCAGAAAAGTGCTTGATCAAGCAGGCATGTCTAATATGCACCTCAGAACATGTTTGCATGCACTTTTTGTCAAACACTTTTTCATGATACTGATGCGTGATTTCTTTGGTGTTGAAGGGATATCATTGAATACTGATCTTGACCCTTTTCTTTTTTGGAAGATATATGTTTCCCTTGCAATTCTTTCAGTATTCAATTTCAAATTTGCTCTGTCATATAGCATTTAATTTGATTGCATGCATATGTCAAATGCAGCTTGATTTACTTCTTTCTGCCATTTGGTTAACTTGACATTATCACCTTTGCCTTTTCCATAAATCTTGGATTGTTCAATTACTGTTTGGTGACTCAAACCTATAGTGCTATCACTGACTTAATTTATACCATTATCACGAGGAATTTCCGCATCATTACTTGAAACACTTTCACAACACTTTTCCTCCGAAGAGTTGACATCACTGCAGCACTGCCTTCAACTAATTCCTTAGTATTCTGTTGGCTTAGCTTTCCAAACTTGGACTTAAGTTTCAAAAGGAGACCTTGACTTTTGATCATTGCTTCCATTGTTTTGTCATTCAAGAGCATGAAAGCATCTCCATCCATATCCATTATCTATGTTATATGGTATAGAAATAGAAATAGAAGTGCTTTAATTATATATTCTGAAACTCTAGAAAAACTGGTACAATATTATTAAACTACGTCCCAGCCGGCAAAGTGACATCGAAACAACGTCAGAGGATGTCGTCAAATCAACGTCGAAAAAGGGTTGAAAACGCAAATGGAATCGATGTTGAGAAATCAACGTTTAGAAATCGATGTTGTTTCAACATCCATGAATCGACTTACCAATAATGTGTTCTTGCCTAATTGTGTTTCTCACCACCTTTCCGATCTGTTTTATCGCCATGCCCATCCATGTTTAGGGTTGACAAAGCTCGCTGGTCATTAATCTAAAGAATAAAAATACATGAATTGAAATAATAGGCATTCAGACACAGAATTTAAATAGTGATCCTAAAGCAACTTTGTCTTGTGATCATAGATATTATATTCGCAATGGGTTTTTCATTGTTCAGTTTCCTGACCGTGCCTAGCTGTTGGCCACTGAAATCACCAACCCTAATCTTTTTATCTGACGTTTGCAGAGCCAGGAGCAATTTTTCATACCCAGTTCAATTTTTCGTACCCAGTTCGTAGCCAAACTAGTTATGTAGAGTACAAACAGTTTGTTTCAAAGTTAATACAACATTTAATGAATGTTTTATTATTATCATCTTTATTAGGGTCATTTAATCATATATTACAAAGAAAAAACGTATAAAATATCCAATCAAACTATTAATAGAATATAGTAGACCCTAAATGGGCAAAGTATAAACAGGACCCAAAGAACCATGCAAGATACCTTCCCAAACATTACTAAAACTAATTTATATAACATCAGACACACACAAGACGCAACTCTACACACACCTAGTGCACCACAATTTACGTCCTATGACACGAACACTCACGAAACAAGGACCACATACATGACAAGTCAACATCATAAATAGAACTAAAAGAACTAGGACTAGACACAGTGTCCAAACATACATCTTTACATACAATGTTCCACAGTTTGACAACACGGTTATAGTACGAAGATTGAAAAGTGCTTGTTCTACAAATTTGACTTTGTAGAATGTACTTTGAGGTGTTACTCAGCCAAGTTCGACCGTGACTGACAAATGCGACACAGTTACTGACATCAACATTCACATAACCAAACAAAGCCTTTTATAGAAACACCAAGTCCTTAACGTCCCTGTCGAAGGTTAACGGCAGAAGGTCCAAGGCCAACAGACGTTCTTTGTAGCTCAGCTCTCCTGTTCTGCTCATCATGATCCATCTCGTCGCCCGACGTTGCACTCTTTCAATCTGCTTTGAGAGTTGGATGTTATTTACAGGTGACCAAACTTCTGTTGCATAGCATAATTGCGATTTCACATGAGTCAAATAAAGAGTTCGCCTGGGTTTCCTGTCTGTCAGTTGATTACATGTTTGTTTCAGTACACCAAACATTTTGTTAGCCTTGAAGATGACACAATTGATTTGAAGTTCCCATGAAAGTCCGGAGGAAGTGATGACGCCAAGATCCTTTTCACTGTCAACTCGAGTCAGACTTTCTGTTCCCAGTTTGTAATCGTAAGTGACAGGAGTCTTCTTGCGTGTAATGGTGAGTACTTTGCATTTAAAAGCATTGAAACAGATGTTGTTTTGTACTCAAGCATGAACGTTTCTAAAAAAATTAACCCGACCTACGTTTTTGCTACGACGAACAGAAAACCCAGGTTGAAATAACAGGCTGCAGAATTATCACACTATACACTGGCGAAACTGTAACTACCTGCTCATTACATTGCAGACATTGTCTTTGACACTGGATCCACCTACGTATCTTTTCATGCAGGCTCGTCTCAAAGAAGAGCCTGCAACAATCTCAAGGAAATCACCACCCACTAATTACCATGATAATTTATTTCCAATCCAACTAATCATATTCCCTGAAATTTGTGTGCATGATGCAGTATGAGTAATAGGCAATATACTTTTAATATTACTGTTGTAGTTCCTTACTCTGTGGTTGTAGTTCATAGCTAGACTAGCTGGAGAATTCAACCTTACTCTGTCAAACTTTTCAAAAATTGCCAGTTTCAATAACTTTTGGAGTAAACAAAACAGAATTTACACTGGCAACGTCACTTTGGTTACTTTGGTATATTAGTATGATACAATTCAATAGAACATAACTATGTCATAACATTCTCGTAGCATGCACTGAGTCACTGACATGCACTGTCTATTTATATGTCAGAATGGTCTGACTAGTAGACTAAAAAATACAATCATTCGAGCAATAATTTACATTAATACTGAATGGCAACTCAAAAAATTTTATATCAAAAGGAAGACAATACCATCTTTATATGTCTAAACATTACAGTAATATTCAAAAGCAAACAAAATATGACCAGCTATGAGCAAATATACAGTATGTTTCAAAATTGCAATGAATGAACAGCAACGTTTACAAATTTTACAATAACAAATATATTTTCTGTGTTGCTGTTATATGTACTTAGGTGAATATGATGTTTGTGATGTTACCCTGAGTGTATGTCCACACTAGGCATGCAAGCTTGACAAATATGCCTGGCCACAGTGAGAATCGAACCTACGACCTTTGGAATACTAGCCCAATGCTCTGCCGACTGAGCTATGCAGTCAGGTTGGTCTGAGTATGTGATATTTCGGAACTGAGTCTAGTTCCTTCGATATCAACGTAATCAAGTAGTCATGATTTGTTTGGTGTTACCGGTATGTGGCCAGGCATATTTCTCAAGCGGTGTGGATATACACTCAGTGTAACATCACAAAGATCATATTCACCATGAGTCATAATTACTGGATTACATTGATATCAAAGGAACTAGACTCAGTTCTGAAATATCACATACTCGAACCGACCTGACTGCCAGCTCAGTTGGCAGAGCATTGGGCTAGTATTCCAAAGGCTGGAGGTTAGATTCCCACCATGGCCAGGCATATTTCTCATTCAAATGTCAAATGGAAAAATTTATGCTAGAAGGTAATAAATGGGATTTAATTTCAAAATTTGGTGTAACACTATTGCCAGTTGCCAAGTAAATTCTGACATTTCAGGCTGCCCACAGAAATTTGTGAAATATCAACGAGCATATATGAATGTTTTTATTATTATTTAAGCTGTGCTTTTCAATTTTGCATGTTAACTAATTAATGTTTAAGTATTAACTATCCCAGGTCAAGAGCAACCATGCAAGTTTTAGCTTATGGGTTAAAATTATTGGTCAATAATATTGGGCCGGCATGGAATGGCATAATAGTAGTGGCAATGATAAATAATTACTGTACTGTAGATGATTTAGACCATACTTGTTTGTAGAGATAGAGGCTATATTTAGTTTATTTTCCCCTTCAATTAAGACATTGGCAACAGGTTGAGAAAAGTATTTGCAAATGTCTGATGTAAATTTAATGAAGGCTGGTGACTTCACATCATGAACAAATATTTTCAGCCTGATCAGGCAAGCAGCTATAAAACTGGCTAGCCCAGCAATGGTTGAAAATTTGGCCAGATAATTTGGTTAAATATAAATCAGTGTTTGCCTTTCTTGTGCTCATTTTTGTATCTGCGAAGCAGATATATATGCTATCGCAAACGTGCCGTGACCATACCGAACCGTACTGTATGTTAACACATAGCCATTCAGCGACGAGCTTATATAGATCACAACAAGCAAATACATATAACATTGTACATTTATACCATACTCATAGTAGCTATATTATAAAGTGTATAATTACTATTGCAGAAATACATGAAGGGTTTCATGAGTACAGTATAATACAACCTGTATCATCAGCACAGCAGGGGCGGATCTAGGATTTTTCGTACGTTAGTCAAAAATTTCGTTGCCAGGGGGTGTGATCGGGGGGGGGGAGGTAGTTACTTTTGACAGGGGGAGGGGGTCGCCAACCAAATTAATATGTGTCCTGTTTGCGAAAAAATGTTACGTGAAAAATTACTGTTTCGCCCAATGTCAAGCAAACATACAATTCTTATCGAGAAATAGATTGACAAACAAAAATTGACGTTTTAAAAATTGTTATTTAATCGCATACTTGTCCTTCTACATGGATGGTCAAAAGATTTTGCAACATAGTGATGCAGTTTAAAACATTTGATTGATTGTTAATTCGAAGGAAGAGAATGTCCACGTTTAATTCACTGCTTCTCGAGTTTTATTCAAAGCAGAAACATGTGTCATGAATAAGTATTCACAGTGGCAACATGATCCATTTTACTTGTTGTATACATGTTGTAGAGATCGTATTACACAAAGCCATGCTACATTGTCGTGTAATAAATAATACAATATTATTAAGTATCTGATTAATATATAAAGTCTACAAGCCACAAGAGACATGAACAAAGTATAAACACACTGAAACTGCCTGTATTAAGCCGCAGTATATATGTAAATTGATGGAAATATTATGTAAATTTCGTCTCTTATTATAATACGCGTACCTGCCAATATTTAATATAGCATTTGTGGCATGAACTGAACTGTTAAACTTTCAATACAATACACTGCGCGAAGTTTGATAACTGGACTGCTATTTTAATTTAACAATTTTCTGGCCAATTTTTACCTTAGTCACGTGATCACTCTGATCACCCCTAGATCCGCCCCTGCAGCACAGCAACTAACTCATGTCTATATGTATCAACATTGCCATGTACTTCAATGTCAGGTTTTGTTGAGATATATCCTGAACAGGCAACCCAGAGCACTCAGCCTAAGCAAACAAGAACACAGTATATAAACAAATACATGAAACAAAAACGAGCTAATGAGACACAGAGCCCTGAGGCTAAGGAAAAGAGAAGAGTTTATGCAAAGGATATAGGGAACGTAAACGGGCCACTGAGAGTTCCCAGCCCTCAACACTGAGCATTGAGGCTAAGCAAAAGAAAAGACTGTATGCAAATCAATATAGGAAACAAAAACAGACCAATGAGAGTTCCCAGCCCTCAACACTGAGCATTGAGGCTAAGCAAAAGAAAAGACTATATGCAAAGCAATATAGGAAACAAAAACAGGCCAATGAGAGTTCCCAGCCCTCAACAGTGAGCATTGAGGCTAAACAAAGGAAAAGACTGTACACAAAGGAATATATGAAACAAAGACGTTGTGAGATTGAACCACTACAAAGTTTAATATCCCAATTTCATGATATTGTCTCACAAGGTCCTCTTTATATTTGTACTTGTTGTGACCAATTATGGTACAAGCATAGTGTCATTCCAGTCACAACATTTAAAGAAAATAATCCTGATGTTCGAAAAAGATTGTTAAATAGAAAAAGTGTTAATAATTTGGAGTGGTTGTGTAAAACCTGCAATAAGCATTTAAAAAGCAATAAGGTGCCTCCTTGTGCTGCCATAAATGGGCTGCAGTTTCCAGAAAAACCTTCGTTTTTCAATCTAAATGAATTAGAGTGTAGATTGCTTGCTCCAAGACTTGCATTTCAAAAATTAATGCAGGCTCCTAGAGGTAGACAACTAAAAATAAATGGAAACATTGTTAATGTTCCAGCAGATGTTGTTAATACTGTTAACATGTTGCCAAGGTTTCCAAATGAGACCAGCACAATTAAAGTTAACCTTAAGAGAAGATTGCAATACAAAAGTTCAGCTTTTATATCACTAAATGTCAGACCAAATAAAGTAGCAGAAGCTGCCGAATGGCTTGTAAGTAATGGTAACCTTTATAAAGATGAAGGTATAACTTTCAATGACACTTGGCTTCAAGATAATTCAAATACTCAAATGCTATATGATGATAGTGACAATGATCAAACCTCAGAGGGTTCACAAAATGTTCTGGACTGTAATGCAGAAAGCTTGAATTGTGATACAGAGAATGTAAAACCCAGCAATCATCAGCTTGTGATGATGATGAACACTGGAGTGAAGATGAGGCAGAAATACCTGCTGGAATCACTGACACTATGTTAACATCTCCAGATTTTCTCACTGATAACGAACGTCAGCATATTTTAAATGTTGCACCTGGTGAGGGAAATAGGCCTATGAGTATATTTAGAGATAAATACTCAGAAGAATTACCATATCCTGGTATATTTCTTAGACAGAAGCGACCAGACAATACAAATAGACTAACCAAAGTCCATTATATCTGAATTAAGAAGGTGTGACCGAAGGGCTGCAATGTGTGTGGAAAATATTTTCTTTAAAACAAAGAAATTGCAAATGAAGATTTTGCTTGGGCAGTCACAAATTGCATTAAGAAAATGTCAACAAAATAGCACAATCACTGCCGGTCAACTAAAACAACTGGGTGCATTAGATAACATGATTCATCATGATCAAGGATTTAAATTTCTTAGAGCTGTACGGGGTTCACCTCCATATTTTGAAAAAGCTAAAAAGGATATATTTGCAATGTTCAGGCAGCTAGGATCTGCTTCATTATTTTGTAGTTTTTCTTCAGCCGAAACACAATGGACTCATTTACTAAGAATACTTGGTAAACTTGTTGATAACAAAACATACACTGACACTGAACTTGAGAACCTCAATTGGGAAGAGAAAAGTAGGTTAATTCAAAGTGATCCTGTGACATGTGCCAGGCATTTTGATTATCAAGTACAGAAGTTTCTGCAAAACTTTCTTTTAAGTAGTGCTGCACCTCTAGGAAAAATTGCACACTGGTTCTATAGGGTTGAATATCAACAAAGAGGATCACCTCATATTCACATGTTAATCCCCGAGCGCCATGCGAGGGTACTAATTCCGCCCGGTTATTTACACCCAGGGAAAGGGAACGCACTAGCGAAGTCTAAAGTTCATCAAATATTGTGGGCGCATGGCTCACCGTTCATGGGTGGTCATCCTCACTGATCTCAAAATATGTAGCGGACTGTGTTGAATAGTGAACACGGATTGGTCAAATTTGAAATTTGCATTATAACCAGATTATAACGACTGCATTGACAACAGCAAAATAACAAAGTTACGAACATTTCTTGCAAGTTGTATTTTTGCAAGATTTTGTAAATTTCAAAACCATTCTGAGAGCCAAAAAACGTCTAAAAAGTCTAAAAAAATAGAGCAAAGTCGCCGACGTTAACTAAGGTAAGTTTGTTTTAAATATTGATGTATTGTTTGTTTTATAATTGATATATTTATAACTGATAGCGGTGGGCGCGATACTGCGAATATCGAACTAATTATTTAATCTTCTTTAAAAACAACAGCGTAGACAAGAGCTGTTTTCCAAGGGGCCGTTGCACAATACATATTTACAAAAAAAGTTGGGTTAATAATTACAATTAGTATATAGTTACAAATTACACATTACATATTACACAGTACACCACATAATATGATAAGACTTAAGTATTATGTTGAGGTCTGTCCCGAAGCAAGGTTTTAAATGTGTTTAATGAAAAGCAATTGCTTTTCAGTTCTACTGGTAATTCATTCCAAATTTTTACACCTGAATAGCTGATGCTTTTTTTTTTAAAGTTTGTTTTGGGCTTTTCTAATTTATAATCGATATTATTATTTCGTAAATTATAATTGTCATTATTTTTAACGACAAACAAGCTAGATATATTTTCTAAGTATTCACCATTCGTAACTTTATGCATAAATATTGCCTTATTATTACCCCATCTTTCCATCAATGGCTGCCATCTTAATTCTTCTAATATATCCTTAGATCTGACATCATATGATTTACCAGTTATGACTCTTGCAGCCCTGTTTTGCAGTTTTTGGAGTTTTTCGAGCGAATATGCATTTCCTATATCCCAAACAAGTTGGTTATCAACAATAACACCTAAAGCTTTTGTTTCTGAAACTTTTTTTATTTTATTATCTCCCAATTTAATTTCAGCTTCATCATCTATTTTGCTTAGTCTCTGTCTGGAGCCAACAATCATGTATTCAGTTTTACTCGTAGTAAGCGTTAATTTGTTAGCCAACAACCATTGATGTATATTTTGTAAATCATTATTTAATTTATTGTACAACTCAGTTGATGTGCTACCACTCGCTGTCAGATTAGTGTCATCTGCAAACATGCTGGCTGTTGTTGATTTTAAACAATTTGGCAAATCATTTACGTATAGCAGAAATAATATTGGCCCAAGATTAGAGCCTTGTGATACTCCGCAAGAAACTGTTCGACATTTTGATGTTGTTTGGTTAACTTTACACATCTGTTTTCTATTCGTAAAATATAATTTGAACCAATTTAAAGTATTACCAACACAGCCAAACTTTTTAAATTTTTCTATCAAAATAGCATGGTCCACACAATGAAAGGCCTTTTTTAAGTCAAGAAATATAATGCCATTGAAAAGTCCTTTGTCCATATTTATATACCACCGGTTCGTATTAGTAAGGAGAGAAGTTACAGTCGAACCTAAAACCAGCCTGACACTCTGACAGCAACTGATAGGTTTCTAGATATTCCATGAGTTGTCCTGAAACTAGTTTTTTAAATACTTTAGCAACTACAGATATGACAGATATTGGTCTGTAGTTGCTACATTCTGTCTTACTTTCCTTTTCCTTACTTACCTTTAAATCGTCAGGAAAAATGCCGGTTTCTATTGACTTATTAAAAATAACGGTAAGCTACTCAGCTATAATATCAGCACTATCCTTTAAAAGTTTCAGTGATATTGGATCATGTCCAGTTGCCTTAGAAGTATTAATTTTCGAAATTACATTTTTGACATTAATTGATGAAAATCTATTAATTTCAAATGATTTATCGGTAGGGACGACATACGTTTCAAATGAATTATTGCCTTTTGGTAGATCTTTAGCCAAAACAGTACCAATCTCATTAAAATAGGTATTCAAGGAATCGGCTATTTTCTCTGGTTGTGTTACGATTTCTTGGTTGATTATCAATTCATTAATATTTGTCGTCTTAGATTTTGTATTTGTTAATTGATTTATAGTTTTCCACATTGTTTTCGGGTCTTTTCTACACTGGTTCAACGCTTCATAATACTTGGCCTTGGTAGATTTTATCAAACTATTTAATTGATTTCTAGCTTTTTTATGATTAGATCCAGTTTTGATTGACTTTTTCTTTAAAAAATCCCTGTCATAGATTTTCTTTTTAATTTCCAATATTAACCAAGGTGCATGCTCACTCCGCACTCTCCTGGTAACTGGAGGGGCATGCATATCCACCACTAATAAAAATTTTCTTTTCCAGTTCTCCCAAAGTATGTTTGGTTTGCCATCTTCAGGTTGGTTTTGAAGGATTTTGGCTAAATCCTGTTTATAAGCCTCTACATTAAAATGTTTGAACTGGCGAGTATTTTTTATTTTAGGTTGTTTGCGGGGGATAGATATTTTTCTATGAATGTTAATCAAACTATGGTCACTCATACCAACATGATCAACACCAGCTGGCTGACTGCTTGACTAAGCATGGCCTAATATGATGAGCCATAGCCTCAGTAGTTGACCCTCTGTATGTTTCTACGTGTATGTTGTGATTTCCAGTTAGCATTGATCTTATAAGTCTGTTAGCATTAGGATATTTGACCATAGAGTCACCCACAATAATGGTGGTCGTTTTCTTGTCAGCACCTGCATCTTTATTTTTCTTTGTTTTATCAGCTTTGACATTTTCTATCAATTTCTTTTTTTGTCTTCGAACATGGGTTCCTTTTGTTGAACTTTTGAACTTATCATTTGGTTCCTCGTCAGATTCGATATCAGATGATGAACTTGAAGATTCAGGATTGTTGTCGGTTAAGGTTTCATATTGATTTTTTAGTTTTATGCCACCGGTTTTACGCTACTATTTTCACCATGCTTTGACTTAGATTTTTCCCACATATTATCATCAATGCCACCACCACTCTCTTCTCTTGCTTCGCCACTTTTCTTTTTAGAGATAGCCTGCTGATTAAAGTCATTTTGTATTATTTTAATGGCTGTTACTAAACTTGATTTCTCTTCTTCAAGCTGTTTATTTGTCTGGCTGAGTTGTGATATAGTTTGTTGCATATTATTATTACTCTCTCGCAGTGCCTCATTTTTCCTGTATAACTCGGCCTTTTCTTTCTTTAATTCATCAATGACTCCTTCCAGAGTTACGATCGAATACGGTTTGTTCTCCTTTACGACGTTTATCTCGAAAGCGAGCTCGTCTAGCCTTGTTACCACGTTGTCAGTAAATTTTTCAAATTTGGATTTTAACATGAGAATTTCTGGGTCATACGTAGAATATTTTGTATAAGCTTTATTAGCTGACGCACGGGAATTAAATGAATCTTTTGTCTCAGCAATTTGTGGATTATCAAAAGTTGATGGCCTTCCAAGCAGAGATGCATTAGGTGAATTTGCATATGTTGAACACTCCTTGTGTGAATGATCCTCGTCACGTTCCAAATTCTGGTCAATAACGGCTTCATTTGCTATATACTTTTCGCTATTGATGCCCAAAACGTTTCATTTGACTCTCTACGTCCGGCATCGTTCTCTTTCATGTGTATATCACTGGACACACTCGTGGCTGGGTCGCTGCGGCTCGACAATGTTGAGTCATCGACCGACTGTTGTTGTTCAGAGTCTGACATTAGTTCAGCATTTCCACTCTTGAGTTTACTTTCGATGTGAGCTTTTACTTGCTCTCCCTCGAAATATATATATTCGCTTTTCATTTGCCAGGTAACCACCAATGGCTTGCTCTCAAAAACCCATTTTTAAATCTTCAAGCGAGCCTGTCCACTTTAATTTGTCTTTCTTAACATCAAAATAGCCACACAATACATTCAGAACTACAGACGAATTCATTTTAAGAATAGATTTTAGCGGAGCACTTTAGTGGAGTTCAGTTCACATAGGAGGCATGACAAATAATTGTGTTTCCAATGAGGAAATCTTCTCGTCAAGTAGTATTTATAAATACTTCACCCCTGAGGATAGAGTTCAGTTCCTAAAACCATTGCAAGAAATTAATGATTTGGAAGATGATTCTGATGAAATTTATGCATCTGGTCTAATAAAGCGTTACACAAAACGACCAGCCAAACTTGAAAATGTGTCCCTTGCAGATTGGGCTGCATGGTACAACTCCACTGGTAAGCCATATATCAAACCATCATGTGAATTCGATATTGATAATTATTTTTCACCCTGCTCGGTTTCCTTTGTTCTTGTCGGGGAATATATTCAATACTCTCCTCTAATCAATTTCCGTTTAATAATCCCCTCTAATATTCACCTGCAATTAAAATGGCATTAAGAATTATTTCTTTTCTGACTCATTAACGCGACCTCGCAGTGTGAAAAATAATTTGAGGCACCTCGGGGATATTTGAGGCACCTCTGGGATATTTGAGGCACCTCGGGGATATGTGTTTATTCACCTCGGCGCTGCGCGCCTCGGTGAATAAATCACATATCCCCTTGTTGCCTCAAAATAACCTATACTTATCCACTTGAGACAAACTTGAGTGATAATGATGATAATAATGAGGAAGAAAGCAAACAAAAGAATAAAAAAAGTGTCTGTTTTAACAAGGAAGTTGATTCTGAAAAGCATTACCGTGAACTAAGCATGTTATTCACTTCATGGAGGGATGAAATAACTGATTTATTAGGAAATTGTGCTTCTTACCAAGAACACTATTTTCAAGTTAAAAATACAATAGATGAGCAAATGAAATGTTATGCTATGTGCAGTGAAGACCTGAATGCGATTCAAGACCAGCTTAATAAGGCATAAAAAAAATACTTGTGGTTCCGGTTCCCGACCGACCCTATTTTTTTCTGCCGACCCTATTATTTTTTTCAACGCAATTGACCGTGCAACCCTAATTTCTCCAGGTGGTTGTGGGCTGCTCATACAGCATGCCAAAATGGCGACTGTTGTCACACTAATTATCGAACCAAATTGCCTAGATTCGTCCATAGGAAATACGCATCACACATCTCTAGTTAATATTGATGTCAGGACTCTACTGCAAATTGCCCAGCAAAAACCATGAAAAAAATATTCAAAAAAGATTTATTTCCGACCTAACGACCCTAATTTTTTCACGATATGAAACCGGAACCACAGGTATTTGTTTTTACGCCTAATGTGGAAGATAGTGATGAAAACTATGACCTGACTGCCTCAGGAACACAAAACATTGAGCGTCAAGATGAAGATGAAGGTGCACAAGACCATCCAGAATTCAATGAAAACTATGACCTATCTGGTGATCTTGGAATTCCTTCAGCTGCATCTAATACTGAGCATCTTCTGATATTGCATGAACAACAGGATGATGTTTACAGAGGAATGGTACAAAAATTAAACAGAGAACAAAAAGAGTTTTTCTTCCATGTTTTACATCTTATTAAAACTTCTGACAATCCATTCTACTGTTTTCTAAGTGGAGGAGCAGGAGTTGGCAAGTCCATCTCACTAAGTGTCTTTATCAAGCAGCATTGAAGTATTATAATACTACAGCAGGTGATGATTTCCATCAAGTGAAAATATTAATGCTTGCACCAACTGGTAAAGCAGCTTACAATATCAAAAGTAACACAATACATAGTGCACTTTCAATACCTGCATGTCAATCTTTAAAGAATTACAAACATCTTGATTCAAGCAGGTTAAACACCTTACGGTGTCAACTTGGTGGTTTAAAACTAATATTTTTGGATGAGATCTCAATGGTTGGTAGTACAATGTTTAAAAGCGACCTTCTGTAAAAACCAACCATAGGCGCGTGCAGAATAAAAAAAATCGAATTGAATTTGGGGTGAGTATGAATATTTTACAGAATTTTAAACTTGGACAATTTTTCGCATGCAAAAAATAGGCTTTACTTCAACGTCAAAATTCGCATTTTGCTACATGGATCCGGATAAAACGACTATAATCTAAAGCATCTACAATGCCCCAACTTCCGAAAACCACAATAAAATTTTTGGGTTACTGAAAAGATGCGATTTGAGAGCCCTCGTAAAATCCACTTGAAGGGTCAAAAAGGTCGTTGCGTAATGGACGACGAACTCACATGTTGACAGGATAAAAATCAACCACACATTGGAATCATCACAAAATGCTCCCTATTTTAAATATATGAATCGTAATAAACTAAATAATAGAATAGTAAAAGTTTCACACACTCTTGAGAGGAAAAAACATCGCTTAATAGCATGATTCTTTCAGTATTTAGTCACCACATTACAACTTGCCGACTTTGGTATTAAATCAGCTATCACATTATAAACAGTTCTCCTCCCTAAAATTGCAATTAATTGTAACAATTTACCTTTAGTACTTGTGCTTTATTTGAACCAGGCCAGATACTGCAGACAAATCACTGTATTAAGCTGTTTTATATGCATATTTCCCACTAACTTTGGTCAACAGTATTTACTTTGTAAACAAACAGGTGAAGTATATTAAATATATCGTGTTATGCACAGGCAACCCAATCTTCTTCAAATTAGACCCCTTACTGCATACCGCAGTTTGCAATGAGAAGATGACTTCTTGTGGATTCAAATCTTTAGTTAGTAGTCCTTGCGGCTCTAGCAAGTATCAAAAACAAGCCAGTGAGAGTATAATTCTGTTAAAGTGTACTAAGGATATCAAAGGTAATCTGAAAAGATTGAATACTTACGACTCCAACTTGAAAAAGGAAACAACATTAATCCTTGCTGGCACAGGTAAGTGCAATACTATGTATGTTACATGTTAGTATTTGCAAGCTTTGTGGTGAACTAGCTATTAGACATTGCTATTTGCTGTTGTTTTCTCATTCATTTATCAGAATCATTACTTTCCTCATAATAGTCATAATCAATACTGATCTTTATCCTCATCATCAACAACTGTATTTGTCTTCTTAGGTGTATTCGATGTAGATGAATCTCACCTTCATTTAACGATCTGTCCATGCTACAGAGATGAGTATGGTATCAGGTGAATCACAAACAAGAAAAATTGTGCTTGTCCTACTAATTGGGCTCCCCATAAAATAATGCAATGAAGAGGTCATCGTGGGATAACACTTCAACAATCTAGTCTGTTATACAATTATACCTCAACAGTTGTACCAGTTGCTTTGCGTAAGTATAACATGTTGACCACACATTGTCGTTCACTGGCTGCACGTTTCTAACTAAATGATCTATTTCTTTTCAAAGCAATTTGTAAGAGATGTCGAATTCTTTTGGGAAAGAGTCCATCACCAAATACCTCCTTGACTGAAGAACAAGAGCAAACAGACACATTCACTACAGAATTATCAGAAGAACACCCAACTCCCCAGCATTGGTGAATCATCGACTTCTTATCTTGTACATTGTTCCTTACAAACTAGATCTTCATTCATTATTTCACTTACTCCCTTAGATCTACTTACTTTCTCACCCACCTTCTACCCATGCCACTATTTGTTTGTGCGTTGGTTTATTGGTTCGTTTGTTTGTTCATTTATGATCATACATTCGTTTGTTCATTTTCTTTCGTCCATTCGTTCGTTCATTCGTTCATTCATTCATTCATTCATTCTTGGATTAAGCTCAGATCCTTTTAGTAACCTATAATGGGAAGGGCTTTTATATTGCCCGAAAATCGTTAAATGTTGAGAAAAGCGTTGTAGCTTATCACAGAGTGATTTTGTCATGTTACATTGGCCAGGTCTACAGGTATTTGCGTCTATGATTTTTTTGTACATAAGCCTTTCCCAGATTACATAAAGGAAAAAGTGCATGCCAACAGTCAAATTTTGATCTTTTTTGACTTGGGAAAGTGCGTTGAAAAGCTTAAAAGCAACCTTGGTACGTCTAAAGGACCCTTATGTATCCCACACAATCAGGAAAAAAGTTATAGAGAAACGTTTATGTCCATGAGATTTATATATCTTGAACAGGACTTGCAGCCACCTGAAAAAAGTGGCGCAAAAAAATTATAAAGATTTTTTAAAATAAAATTGTCAATTTTGCTTCTAGTTCACGCTCTGAACATGTTATTCCCTCTATGAATTCTAATTTGCGCCAGTTTTTTTAGTTTTTTAGTTTTTTAAGTTTTTAAGCAAAAAAATCGGGTTACAAAAAGGACATCGTCCTTTTTGTAACCTGGAAATTCCTTTTTGTAACCTGAAAAAAAAATATATCCGAAATTAAAAGGTGTAGAGGTATTAGTCGACTCAGTCATGAGGGCATGCCTTCCTGGGAATACAAAACTGTTGAAATAACGTCAGCAATGTTTTTATTTTTGCGGCATTTCACGATTTTTCAATTTCCCTATTTAATCGACTTTTGTGTGTTCTTTTAATTTTCTGGCAGTTTTAGCATGAATATTAGAGATTTCTCTACATTGCCCTCAATTTTTACAATTTCGGAAAGCAATGAAGGTATTTTCCCATTCGCTTCGTGAACCCTATTTTCCAAATAGGGGTAAGAAAGGTGAAGACTCGCTCGGAGAGCCTCGGGCTAGTAAAAAAAATTGCCAAATATGGTCTTTGTATGCCTTCTTGTCCGAATATCTGGAACTTTGCGAGTGTTTATATAACAAAGAAAGGAATAAATCTCGAGCAATCAGCATCTTAATTGGCATAACTGGACGTTTACATTTCTGTTGGCAGCTGGTGGTTGTCTTGTGCACAAGGTACGTTGTTTTTGTACCATTGTTACTGAATAATTTATGAGCAAATCTAACTGAAATATTCGCGTGTATTTATAGCGCTCGTGATACATGCAGCGCTTGAATATTCATGAGACTATAATATTATTCACCTGAAATAGAGCCGTTTATATAGGTTGCAATGTTTCTACATTAGGTAGTTTTGTATAAGATAATAAAAACTTAATATGATTAGTGGATAATTTCATAAACATATACCTTAATATTTTAAACACATAAATACATCATGTTTCGCTCACTACTCTGGTTTAAATAAATGATTACACAGCCCAGTCGAATTGTAACCAAGACCCAACGTTTTGACACTCCAGTCTAGTATCTTCATCAGGGGTGATCTAAAATGCGAACCGTGTCGAAACTGCTAACAGTGTCGAAACGTTGGGTCTTGATTACAACTCGACTAGGCTTTGTAATCATTTATTTAACCAGAGTAGCGAACGAAACATGATTGATATACCTGGTTGCAGTGAACGAACAAACTTTATACATAAATACATAGTTGATAAATAATCTTGTTTTCTGAACAAGCCTGACAATGGCTCACATGTCCTAGCTCCTTGGTACGTTCAACAATCGACACTGTAGAAAATGCCATGCATTGAACTTTATTAGAATACCGAACCTTTTTTATGCTTTAACCCATTAACCTGCAGAGCTTTCCCATTGACAAGTAAAATCGTCTGGCGTTAGACAAGTAAAAAAAAAAGTAAGTAGGCTGCACTGGGCTGCATTGCGGCTCAATGGGTCATTCCAGAAAACATCCATACCACCCCCACAGAGGAAATAGGAAGTTAACCCCCCTACCCCCTTCGGATGTCCTAATACATTTACTATTATCAGAAACAATTTTTTCTCCCCTCCCCCTCCGGACGGCAGAAATTTCCTTCATGGGGGGAGTATGGATCTTTTCTGGAACAACCCAATGGGTTAAGTTGGTTAACTAGAGACATTGTCAGATTTTTTGGTTAACCCATTAAGATGCAGAGTTTCGACCCTGGTTCCAGGGGCTCTTTGTGAGGCGATATCTTTGCGAGGTGAAAGAAACAGTGAGCTGGAACCTGGGTACAGAGTTTCCCAATTGACAAATAAAATCGTCTCGCGTTAGACAAGTAAAAAAAATAAGTAGCTACATGTAGGCTGCACTGGCCAGCATTGCGGCTCAAGCAGTTCACTACACTATCATCTATAATGTTATCATGATGGTGAATCAACAATCTGTAGTCTAGTAACCTGTAACCTATGACATACAGATTGTCTGACATCAGTGTGATGTAGTTTGTATGATTGACAATACAGTCCTGTCCCTATAGATTAATAAAACATCAGTGGCGTAGCCAGCCCGACAATTTAGTCCCGCTATGCAAATTCAAAATTATTATAATTATTCATTTCTTTAGAAATTGATTGTTTTCACAGTCAATGAACACGAAAATATTTGCATAGCGGGACTAAGTCGTCGTGCTGGCTACGCTACTGTAAAACATTAATGTAACCACTGTTGTGTAGTGTTTTTACTGTAAAGACCTTACAAAAATTCTACAATGTGGCTCAGCTTAATACAATATATTCCAGCTAGTTATATGCAATTGCATATTAACTATTCTGCATGTATGGGTTTAGTGTTCCCAAAGTTTAATGCAATATGGTTGGGCGATATTTTGATACTGTATTTTGATTTATCGCGATATTTTCAATCGCGATTATCATATCGAAGGTAGAAACTTGAGCGACGATACTGTATATCAAAATTATCGTCATGGTTGAAGATATTGTGATATTGCTTCGCATGTGTACATAAAATCCTAAAAAATTCTTTTAATTCCTAGAAAATATAGTTTTTAAAAGAATTAAAACTATTTCCTCAATTAAATATGAATTTAATATCACACAAAAGGTAATATTTATGTATTATTCGATTGAACGATGAAATTGCAGGCTTTGCTTGGGCTGTGTGCCCACATCATTTGTGCCAGCGGAGCCATAGTAGATAATGCATATGCATATACAGTTCTGGTTTTTGAACAGTGTAAATATTAGACTAGAAAAAGCCTGTTCATTGTTTTTATTGCATTTATCACGATATTATCGAATGTTGTGATAATTTCCTTGACAATAATCATGAGATGATTTTTTTAATATCGCCCAACCCTAAATAGGGTACAGTATTTAAATTAATGAAATAGAGGGAGTTCTTAAGCTAAAGTCTTATTGGATTGTTGCTTCAGTCATTTTTAGTCATATTAATAGGTTTTCTGCCCCTAACTTTTGTTGTACAGTACTTTAGCTACATGGCTGTTCTACCTGTGAAAATAATTGCATATGCTTCCCAAATGAGTTTCATGTATGTATCACAATGTCTCATCAAGTTCGGGGGGCTCAATAATGAAGTTTTTACTGAAGGATTCCCTGTGAAAACAGCAGTTAATGGCCACATATTGAGAATAATGCCTAAGTTTAACATTGTTCACTATTCTGCATGTATGGGTTTAGTGTTCCCAAAGTTTAATGTAATAGGGTACAGTATTTAATGAAATAGAGGCAGTTCTTAAGCTAAATAAAGTCTTATTGGGTTATTGCTTCAGTCATTTTTAGTCATATTAATAGGTTTTCTGCCCCTAACTTTTGTTGTACTTTAGCTAATGGCTGTTCTACCCCTGAAAATAATTGCATATGCTTGGTGTGTTTGCCAAATGAGTTTCATGTGTGTATCAGAATGTCTCGTCGAGTTCAGGGGGCTTTATGTTGTTCATCAGACTCGATAATGAAGTTTTTACTGAAGGATTCCCTGTGAACAGTACTTAATGGCCACATATTGAGAATATAATGCCTTAGTTTAACATTGTTCACTATTCTGCACGTATGGGTTTAGTATTCCCAAAGTTTAATGCAATAAGGTACAATGAAATAGAGGCAGTTCTTAAGCTAAAGTCTTACTGGATTGATTGTTGCTTCAGTCATTTTTAGTCATATTAATAGGTTTTCTGCTGCTAACTTTTGTTGTACTTTAGCTACATGGCTGTTCTAATACTGAAAATAATTGCAAATGCTTTGTGCGTTTCCCAAATGAGTTTCATGTGTGTATCACAATGTCTCGTCAAGTTCGGGAGGCTCAATAATTAAGTTTTTACTGACGGATTCCCTGTGAAAACAGGAGTTAATGGCCACATATTGAGAATAATACCTTAGTTTAAATTGTTCACAATTCTGCATGTATGGGTTTAGTGTTCCCAAAGTTTAATGTAATAGCTATACATACAGTATTTAATGAAGTAGAGGGAGTACTTAAGCTAAATAAAGTCTTATTGGGTTATTGCTTCAGTCATTTATAGTCATATTAATAGGTTTTCTGCCCCTAACTTTTGTTGTACTTTAGCTAAATGGCTGTTCTACCCCTGAAAATAATGGCATATGCTTGGTGTGTTTGCCAAATGAGTTTCATGTGTGTAACACAATGTCTCGTTGAGTTCAGGGAGTTTTATGTTGTTTATCAGAGTCAATAATGAAGATTTTACTGAAGGATTCCCTGTGAAAACAGGAGTTAATGGCCACATATTGATAATAATGCCTTAGTTTAACATTGTTTACAATTCTGCATCTACTGTATGGGTTTAGTGTTCCCAAAGTTTAATGCAATATGGTACATTGTTTAATGAAATAGAGGGAGTTCTTAAGCTAAAGTCTTATTGGATTGTTGCTTCAGTCATTTTTAGTCATATTAACAGGTTTTCTGCCCCAACAGGGTACCTAATTTTGTTGTACTTTAGCTATATGCATGCTGTTCTACCGCTGAAAATAATTGGATATGCTTAGTGTGTTTGCCGAAAGAGTTTCATGTGTGTATCAGAATGTCTCGTCGAGTTCAGGGGGCTTTATGTTGAAAAATACTGAAAATAATTGCATATGCTTTGTGTGTTTCCCAAATGAGTTTCATGTGTGTATCACAATGTCTTGTCAAGTTCGTGGGGCTCGATAATGAAGTTTTTACTGAAGGATTCCCTGTGAACAGTACTTAATGGCCACATATTGAGAATAATGCCTTAGTTTAACATTGTTCATAATTCGCATGTACTGTATGGGTTTAGTATTCCCAAAGTTTAATGCAATAAGGTAGAGTATTTAATGAAATAGAGGGAGTTCTTAAGCTAAAGTCTTATTAGATTGTTGCTCAGTCATTTTTAGTCATTTTAATCAGTGGCGTAGCCAGAGTCAAAGTTTTGGGGGGGGCGAGATCCGAACGCCGAAGGTGTGAGCCATTCTAGGGGGGTCCGGGGGCATGCCCCCCTGGAAAATTTTGAAATCTAGACTCCCGCAAATGCGATTTCCTGCATTTTCCGGGTGAGATTTTGCAGAATAAAGTTGGCATTCTGAGGATTATATATTGCATAAAAGACATGATTTTCCTTGATTTCACAAATGTACCAATCTTCTTTTCTCCCAAATGTAATAAATTGTCAAAGCCATCTATACTGCAGAACTGAAGTTGGGTTATTCTTTTCACTTTATGACCCCTTTATCCCTAGAGAAGTGTGTAAAAAGGCTTAAACGAACATTAGTTGGACATTTTGAGTTCAAATAATGCGAAGTTCTTTTATTCGACAGTGAGACACTGTTCGTTTCTACAATGCTTTTTAAAAGAAATGGGGACTCAGAGTCTGATAAAGTGTAAATTTAAATATTTGAAAGAATAGAGCAATAGTTGAGAGTAAATGTTTAATTTAAAATCTAAACTAAACCCATTCTTCTTGGGGCCATGTCTACGAACAATTGGACAAGATTGTCCACATCAAGTTGCTCCAACAAGTCGTCTTCGATGGACATCAGCATCAGACTATTCAGTCTTTCCTGCTGCATGGTTGTCCTAAGTCGAGACTTTATCAACTTTAGCTTCGAAAATGTCCTTTCGGCACTTGTTGATGTGAGGGGCAGTGTCAAAGCAATTTTCATCAGCTTTGTTAAATTTCCATAGCATTCGGGTTCAGCTTGCAATGCTTTGAACAGGTCGTCGAAACTGGCTTTTCTCTTCTCTAATTTTGCCTTCTCGAGGATGTTAGCAAGCAGCGACGATGTCTGTAGGGAAAATATTTCGCTCTCTACTTCATCAACATCAAGATCGCATTGGAACCATTGGGCCGCGACAGAAATATGTTTCCAAGCTTCTGGATTGCCTATTCGAGAAGGATTTAAGTATCCGAGACCCATCAAAACTGGTGCGTTATTCTTGTCAAATCGACTTTCAATGGAGCTAACCATAAGATCAAGTACCTAGATTTCGAAAAATACATAGCTGTAAATATTTTTATAAGCGATTGGAATGCATGTTTCCAGAACAATTCATTATTCATATAACCTACATTATAGTAAAAGGAAATTCTAAACTTGTCTTTCGACGTAAGATGGACTGCTGTGTCAGGATTATCGTCGATCCTCCTAGGAAGTTTGTGGGTACGCTCTTGTCTTGGTTCTTCGATATTCAAGCTGCGACATTTTGTAACAGTAGTTTCCCAAAATTCCTCAAATTTGGGCTCGCATCGTAGAGCCTGTACTGTGCTTAGCAGATCAGCAACTCTTTCGCAGCCGGTGACGACATCCAAGTCCTCTGACTGCAGCTTATCTGACACTCCCTTACTGAGTAGCAGGACTTTCTTCAGCACCTTAATAAAAATGATCAACTCACATCATTAAATTTTCATTAAAAATAAAAATGAATGAAATATAAATCACGGTACGTTTGTCATCAAAACAGTACCTCCAAAGCCAAAACAAATTCAAAATCACAGACGTTCTGAAACAACCCCTTTGCTTCTGCTGCAATGTGAGCCTTCTTTTCATTTTCTCTGATCTCTTTTAGAGTCGCGATGACAGCTTCGAGTGTGTGGTAAATTGCGGTGATGCTGTCCGCCCGACATGCCCATCTTGTATCAGACAATTTCTTCAGAACGTACTCACGCTTCTTTTTTCCTTCATCATCTGACGCATTCAACTTTCTCTGGTGTTTCAAGTACACAGCATGTCGTTTTGTGCAAGTTTCGATGAACACGTATAGATTTTGCAACGTTCCAAAGAAATCTCTTGCTATACTATTGTTACTCATTGTGTCCACGATGACCAGATTTAAAACATGAGCATAGCAATGTGTGTAAATTGCTGACGGGGAAATCTCTTTGATGCGTGCTTGCAGTCCGGTATGGATTCCAGACACGTTACTTGCACCATCATAACATTGTCCACGCATGTTTGAAAATTCTATCCCACACTGTTGTAATTTCTCTCGGATGGTATGGAAAAGCGCTTCAGCTGTGGTTTCTTCCATAGGTTCTACAGCTAAAAGACGTTCTTCTATCACTCCATTCCAGACATAGCGAACAAGTACAGCTAACTGTTCCGTTTTACTAAGATCTGGTGTCTCATCTGCAATGATTGCATACATCTCGGCTCCTTTGACACGACGTATGATTTCGTCTAATATAGCTGAACCAACCACCTTGATCAACTGATTTTGGATCTCAGGGCTAGTGTATTTAGCGTTTTCTGAAATCGATAAAAAGAAATAATTACAGAATTATCATAATTACGACTTCAGTTTATCTTTATTATTCCTTATTCCATTCTATTATCATGCAGTTTCATATATCCCTAGCTATATTCCACCGAAAATTCGTAGTAACCTTAACGTTACTGAACCAGTGAATGATATAGTTACCTGCAGAATTTCGTAAATGATCTTCAATAAGAGAATCAGACTTTGCTATATGTTCAAGAAATTCTTTAAACACCCCTTTGTTTAAAGAATTCTTATCCTCGCGGTGTCCCCTAAATGGTAAATTCAGTTTTCCAAGAAGTCGAACAACATCAATGATCTTACCAATTACAGTTCGGTTCTTTTTTACCTGAAAATAAAAGGATACAATTTTTAAAAAATCCTAACTGTGTTAACTTTATACGCGTCACTCAATTGTTTCTTAGGAATAAACGTATTACCAGGATTACCACCATATCACCGACATTTTTATGCAAAACTGGCGTTTTCACACGCTTACTTCGTCTGTAATGTTGTGCACAGATGGCCTGTCAAAGTTATATATATTTGGCAAATGGCAATACGTACATTTTGTTGACGATATGACTCTTGTCTCTCATTTTCTTCGTCTATTTGATGATGTATTGGCTTCTGGGATTTCCAGTGACGATGAGCTTGAAGTGAATGCTTGTGGCAATCTGACTTCTCGTGCTTTGCGAAGACTTCGCTCTTTTTCCAGTTACTAAAACCAGTTTTGATGAAGGTAGGTTCACTCCTTGACGACGTCTGCATGCAAAGAAGACAAATGTCATTGTTTTACGTTGTCATAATATAAGAAGCGTTTCTTGTATTTTTATAATACATATCAACTATTTGACGATACAGAGAGGATGAATTATAGTTTGTTTGTGGAACTTTTCATACTTTTGCGATAATAAGTAATTATTTAAAACAACAGTATTGAGTATTACACATCGCATTTTGATATATAATTAAACACTACCAGGTCCATGTATAATTGCAAATTAAACGGTACGCATTAAGTGTAAACAACTTAACAAGGTTAGGACTAACTTAGGAAAATAATTAAAGCGCAAATCACACAATTAACTCACCTGTGCGTTGAACACTCTGCAGACGAAACAAAAAGCTTTATCCAACGAGACAGAATACTCTAACCAAGGAAATTTCTCATACCACGATACTAGAAACTTACGATTCCGGTTATCCAAAGGAAAATTTATATCTCTTGGCTGGCAAGGTCCTTTGCTTATAACGTGGTCCCTGGCTTCTCTTCCACTGGGCAAAGGACAGGAAGGTTCGTACTCATAAGACGAAAGATCTTGAGGAACAGAAGCTTCTGCCATTTTTCATGTATACAATAGTCTGCGCTAGTCACGCAAGAAAATTCCGCACATATTATAATTTACTATTCAGTTTTCGCGATGACATGATTGGATAATACTAAGGAAGTAGACTCGCCCAGATGTTAGCTTAAGTAAATTGTTTTGACAGTTATAGTAATTGCTTTTGCACAGCTTTGCCAATTCAATGGTTTGCGTGTTTTAACACCTTGTATATAAGCATATAAATACCAGCTCAGCGCTCCCAAGACATAAATGATTATATCAGATTTGCGCACTCGATATTTTTACCCAAACTTGGGTAGCTATAATTTCCATACCTCAACGGCATAATTATATTGTGAGTT